TTGTCACACCGTGGCACTGGCTTTCTACTCCCAGGTGCAAGGTGTGATGTAAATTAAAGGGATCTAAGTGACTAAATCTTGCTACGAACTTGGGAGTAAAAGACAAACTGATAGAAGCACCAAGCCCTGGACCTTTACCCAAGAAAACACACAACCACAGTGGGTTGAGGCACTTCAGCGCTGAACAGTAGTAACTCTAGAACTGCTAAAATGCAAATAGCGCATGACTTCAGCCATCACAAATGGCATTACATTAAAAAACCACCTTTCAGAATTTCTGTTTTACAGAAATTAATGAATCCTGTCAAGACTTTTTAAACTAAGATCTTCAGACACTTTCAAGGTATGTCATTACATATTTCACAATTCATAAGTCAAAACTTGGAAATGAAAATAGCGTGTCTTTATTGATAGTCTGCCACAAATTATTGTATAAACTTAAGAGTTAGCCAAAAATGTGTCTGCTATGTGGGAAGATCCTGAACATTGCAAGCGTATCTGCACAGCGTGGATGCTTTCTTACAGTAGGTAACAGATGCTGTTACCAGCTCTCACTGTAGCGCCATACGCCGTTGAAGTGCTGTTTTACACAAATGTACGAGGCTCTGTAGAGTCACTGTCTCTTCATTATTGCAAACACACAGAGATGTATATGTCAACGTTAAGCCTCCACTGACTTCAGTGGGACTCCTCTGTCTCTTAGGTGAGCTCGTACACAATGTTTGCAGGACTGGAGTTCACGACTACAGAAGCAGTGACAAGGGGGACGAGAACAGACATACTACAATAAGAATTCCAGCAATTCAACGCATCCATCTCACTGAAGGAAATCAGTATCTTTACACACTATTGAACGTTAAAAACAAACAAAGATGTTTAAGCACAAAGTATATATTTATACCAAATAAAACAATTGAAAAAGTATTACATAAAGAAAAATAATGTAACAGAACGTACTTAAGTACCTAACTTACAGTCATGCTCATACCTAAAAGTAACATTGGTAACTAATATATATAATTTTTGACAAGGGTGCATTTAAGAGTTCTCTAACATACAACATTCTAAATGTGGAGAGTATTTTTTCCAAGATACAGAAAACAAATTATTTTACACAGGCACACCTGTTAATTTGTATAAAAAACATGCTTGTAAGTGAAAAGGTCACTTTAGTACTAATTTACCAGCTGTGTGAAAGCTATGTAGTGTTAATCATGTTGAAATCGTCTCTTCTCCTTTTGCATTGGTGAGCGCCAACACTGAATGGTACAATATTTGATCCATACGGTTTACTGACACTGCAACCTGTTGCCAAGCAGTAGCCCTGCCCAGGTGTTAGCAGCACAGTACTGTACAGCCCCATCTGTCTGCATGTAGTGTAGTTGTAACTAAAAGCTATTACAATTATTACAATGATTTCTGTTTCAATATATACATCAGTATAAAACACTACCCAAAACACTTTTGCATTTCAAACAATTTTAACCACTTCATCAAACAATGCATTTGCAGAATTAAAAAAAAAAATCCAAATTAATGTTGATTGCCAACAGTACAGTATCTCTATGGTATGTTTCCTAATAAATGAGAGAACGGAAATGTATTAAAATCAATTAAAATAAGTATCACAAAACATAATTCATGTTAGAGCAGTTCAAGGATTCCCAGTTTGTCAGTATCTACCCTAAGCAGTGCTACCCAAATACAGTATAAGCCATTTAGTGTTTCTACAATGAGAAGAAAACATTCAAATATTAAAGCTGCGACAAACACACAAAAGCAAGGAAAGAAAATTTGTTCTGTACTCATCCCTGTTGTAGCAAGGTACGGCATGTCAGGAGTTTGCACTCAGTGCATCGTAGGTGCTGTACCTGGGTATAACTGTGTATGGAAGACAGCTGAAATGGAATCAACTCTGAATTTCCTTGCTGTTGTGGTTTTATGTCAGACCATTCAAGTTATAACAACTTAGTGTCTTTTTTTCCTGAAGGAAAGAAGAGAAAAGAATTCATAATGAAATTTTAAAAATGCTACTAAAATCCCTATCTTGGACACAACACACCGCTTTAGGAGCTACTGTGTCATTGCACAATACAAGTGGCCTATTAGTCGCTGAATTACTGGTGTAGCAGAATATATTTGTCACTGTGAATGTGTTTTGAAAATCGGTGTTTTGAAACTTGCCTGTATCCCATAACAAGCCACAAACAATTCTGTGTATTTCAAACACTAATATCCTTACGTAAAGTAGTACATTTATAGTGGCAAATTTAAAATCTCTGCCTCTGCTGCTTCAGTTTTTTAAAATGAGACTTTGTTCAGAGTTTTCGTTCTTTACATTATCCTAAACCAGAACTATTTCTGAAACATTAAAAAAAATCCAAATGATAACAACAACATGGGGTTGGCTTTTTTTGTTTTGCTTTGCTGATTCATTCCTAACTTGAAAAATAATCAATGTCTTTAAAAAACCCACAAAACAAAAATACCCCAAAAGTCTCTCCCCAGGACAAGTCCCTGCTAGCTGAGATTTTTTCCAAACCCAAGTTTCACGCTTACAGTATCTTTATAGTCATGTTATACACCCTTGAAAATAAAGGCTCACGTTGAGAATGGTGGCAGGCCCTTAATTATAGAGGTGTTAACTGGTGACACTATTTTTCATCAGAAAAAAAACAAAAGCCCCACAAAACTTCATAGCTTATACTGAATGTTTGATTCATGCTCATTTTGTTCATTTAAAAATACTCTTTGGAATCTGTGTCAACTCCTGCAGACAACTTAGTGATACATCTTTTCCTGTTAAAATAAAGATAATTCATATTCACCTCTACCCCATGCTAAGCTCTACGACTAATATACACTTCATTACCTGCTCATGTCACCATCTAACACATAGCTTTACGTTCTTCTACATATAGCGTCCAGGGCTTATTTTTCACCAAACAGAATTTGATAACTATTACACTTAGAAGTTTTTCTTGATGATTTTTTTCTTTTTTTTTTTTTTTGGTGTTCTAGCCTTTTCATTGCAACTTACAGTGATATTAATAGTTCAGATTTTGTCCATGCTAACTTAAGAGAAACTTTTCATAAAGTTTTTTCCTATTCAGGATTTTAAAATCTAAACTCGTTTAGACATCAAAACTGAAAACCAGAAGAGAGATTAGATACATCTGTCATTTTAAAATGGTTTCTGCTACTTTAAAATGCATTTAAAAATTGTACTTAGGATTCTAAGTTTTACATTGCTGCAATCAGATTCTAATTCAAAATCTTGCAAATAAACATGAAAAATAAGCCACTGGTCATGAATTCTAATGATTACATTCAAAGCTAGCCTTTAAAAAAAAATAAACAAGTTACAGGCAAAACATATTGGTTTATGTACTCACTAGCTTATCAGGCTACAATAGGCATGTTTTAAGTATAAAAAAGCAGACAATTCAGATTTAAATAAGACTATGTGAAATCAGAAAAAAACCTTAGATTTCACTATTTTTTTTTAAAAAAAAGAACACCTATAATTACTTCCCATCCTACAGCTACAGTTAAACCAACTAACAAAAATAATCAAGCTATTTTTGACAAACAAAAATTAGGCTAGAATATGTGGCAACAATCAAAGTTCATATATGTTTCTATGTAAAATGACTCATGATTTACTATAACATAGAATATGAACAAGAGCACTTTGTGACTAATGAAAGAGCTACTAGTAGAAACACTTAATGCCAAACAGTCTTCAGCCCTCCTTTAAGTTGTATCTCCAAATCAGTATTGACTTCTTTTGACCAGATACATCATTTTTGGCTTGTCACCCCAGTATGTCACGTTTCACCACTTGCCACAGGCAGGAGACAACTAGCTGAGCAAACTACAAGCAGTGACATGCAGAAATTACCTCTCAAATCTGAGTACTTAGATAAAATGATATGCAAGCGCACACTAGGACAAAAGGAATGGCATTCGTCATCCAAATAGGCTCATCACCCCTCCCCACCCCCCCGAACAGTAGTTGCAACAGCAATAGAAAAAGATCGAGAAGATGTCTGTTCTTCAGAGTCAACTGTGGAAAAAAGTCAGCAATATATAACAGCAGCGGTGGACAAGGAAGAGCAAAACGAAAGAATCTTGTTGAGTATTTGTTCATTTACTTTTTCTGAACACAAGCCAAAGTGTGCCACACTGGCTCGTTCTGAACTTCAGATACAGATGTCCTAATCTCCTTAGATCCTTCACAGATTTAGAATTCAGTCTCCCTGAGGCCCCTATAACCAAGTAAGAAAACTCTCTTTATCTAGCTTGGTGGCTGCCAAGACAGATTCCATGTCATTAAGGATGTCAGAGCTCAAAGCCTCTTGCAGACTTGGCATCAGTTCTTCTCCTTCTATATTCATCCCATCTCCTTCCAGTGTCCCAAGGTCCACATTTGTCCCTGGAATGGCTTCAAGGTAGTCTGGGAAACGGTTCTGATGGGACGGTATGTTACTTTGGCTGATACTGTCACCTAGTTATAACACAGAGCAAGATGGATATTCAATATACTGGAAGTACCAAACCCACAATTTATCATTTATCAGGACAACCGGTTAAAGGGTAATCCTGTCTCTCTTGCATCATACAAACAACACGATTCAAAGAAATCCATCACAAGAACCAAAGGTAACTCGACCGCATGCAGATGTACAAAGAACATGCCTTTGTTTCAATCTCTTCACCTACTGACCCAAATCTCTACAGATCTTTGATGTCATTTAGCGTACTTTAATTTCTACACTTAAAGGAAAAAGACAATACTGAGTCAAATATTGTTTTGGAGCAGTATTAAGAACACTATATTAGGTACCACTCTTAGCTCTGAACAAACAATATTGCTTAAAAAAACAAATGGACACTCAAATTCCATATAATAACAGGAGTGATACCATTTATGAGCAATCCCCCACCCTCTCAATACAGCCGATTATAAGTGTGGTTTTTGCAAATCTAACTATAACGTTTCTATTACAGAAATAGAAAAACAACGCAAAAAGTATCATGACTTCTCAGAGTTGCTCGTTTTCATTGCAAATGGACACAAGTATGTTTGGAAAACATGCACTAAGGATGTACACAAACACAGACCTGTATCCATCTCATCAACACTGTTCAGGAAGTCATCGGGGGTTCTGGGTACACTATAACTGCTCATGCTAAGTCCACTATCTGTGCTTTCGTCTCTGGAGTGATATGTTCCACTGTAACAGAAGAAAGGGAGCAAAAAAAATGAGGCTAGAGTACTGAAGAAATTAAAATAAATGCTTGTTTTTGAACAAATTCAAGGACTTTGAAAACATTGCTGTCACGAGAAATGCTCTGTTCTAATAAAAAACTGAAACCTTTGTCTGTGTGAGACAACTGGGTTTTATTTTATGCAGACTCTTTCCAATTAAAACCACATTATTTAGATTCAAATTAACTTGATGAGAGCATACTTAAGCAGCTTTAAAAAGCTGCCTACCTGTGTTCTGCATAGTTTTAAACTGTTCACACCCACCCACAGCTAAAAAAACATGTGAAGCAATTCACAGATAGTCCATATTTCTAACTACTAACGTCCCCATGTTTAATCAACCACTGAAGTGTATTTTTAGGTCGCTGCTGTTATAAATAGGAGCTATAGCTGGAATTCCTCTAGTGATTCTTCAATTGCTTCCCACTGTTGCATTACTACTAGCTCAGTCACACATGTCATGGCAAGAGCACGCCCTAACATAAATCAAATACTGGTACAGAAGCCATTCTGTAAACAAACCCTGTTCAGAACCATCTTGTTGACAGAACAGTTAACGAGACAGTGATGGCACAGGGCCTTAAACGCATACGCTGTCTTACTGCCAGTGGAGAGAGCAGGACCAAGAAAGTGGGATGGAGCAGAGGGGCAGGTAGGCCAGTGTGTTGAGTTTACATAGCAAGGTTTTCACAGCAGGGGGGCTGCAGGAGTGGTCTCTGTGAGATGACATCAGGAGCTGACCTCATGTCAGACACAGCTGGTTCCAGTTGGCTCCAAAATGGTTGTGCTGCTGCCCAAAGCTAAGCCCATCAGTGACAGCAGTGGTACCTTTGTGATAACGTATCTAAGAAAGGGTAAAAAACCACGGTGCAGCAGCTGGGACAGAGGAGTGAGAACATGCAAGAGAACAACTCTGCAGACACCAAGGTCAGCGAAGAAGGAGGGGGAGGAGCTGCGCCAGGTGCCAGAGCAGAGATTCTCCTGCAGCCCATGGAGAAGATCGTGGTGACACAGGGTGTCTCCCTGCAGCCTGCAGAAAGCCCATACTGGAGCAGGTTCCTGGCAGGAACCGTGACCCACGGAGAGGGGCCCAAGCAGGAGCAGGTTTTTCTGGCAGGAATTGTGGCCTGCAAAAGCAGCTGTGGAAATATACCACTACCTTCCTCCCCCTGCATCTCCTAACATCCAAGTGTCACAAAGCATTTTCAAAATCTGTATTTCTTCAGGTTATGGTAGCATTCACTAAGAATCCTTACTGATTTTCCAGCTTGCATACTAAATGAAGATCAACTTGCCATGAATATATTAGATGTCATGAATACATCTTTGCCATACAAGAAACAAACCTAACATTTCTTTATAGTTAAATCATAAATATTTCTTTTTCCTAGATTGATTTAAAAATACTATCACCACACACTCCATAAGAATCCTAATAATTAAGCTATTTAAAACGTCTGCATAAAAAATACTGGTTTACTTTGTGGACAACACACTAAAACCAGAACTGAGACTATAACAACTTAAATCACTCTAGTTGAGAAGGCTTTTTGGCTGCAGCTCTCACTCTTGGATCACTCCTTAATACAGATTTCCTCTTTCTTCTACAAGGATTTCTTCATTTAGTAGTCACACCACTCAAAATTACCACATGTAACTAAACTGCATTACCCAAAATAGAGTGGATGCTTCTTCAACTAATTCTTCTTAAAATATATGTATACAAAGGAAGAAATACCAGTTTAGGAATTAAACAGAGAACTACTGTCACGATCAATGTAAACCTAATACATAAAAATATATAAACAGAGTGGCAAACTAAAATGTGAAATAGTCTAATAAAGTCTGCATTGCTGGATGTCCCACTCAAAAAATGAAATATATCACAATGACAGCAAGTACTGAAGACAGCAGGCAGAAGACTATGTAAATGAAAACACTGCTGTACATTTTCTCAAATTGCTCCAATGTAGCAATTATTTTCTGAGATTTTTTTTTTTTGATGTTCTAATTATGTAGGCAGTGGAAAATACCCAGCTACCTAAACTTTGGATATCATTTTGGTACCCTATAGTTAGGAGGACCGTCTCACCAGGAACCTTATATATACACCTTATAAAGACAGAAAGAAGCATTACTCCAAGTCTGAACTTTAACATAATGGACATCAAGGAGATCTTTGGGGCAAAACTGCTCTATCTAATTCAGAGATAGCAATGCATATCCATAAATGTGCTGTTTTAAAACCC